TGGGAGCAAAACTGCTGAAATAGTGCCAGCTGCAGTTTTGGGGACGGGTGGGCCACAGAATATCAACAAAAACATGGCACAAAGAGATCTTTGGACTAGACATTGGGGTGCAGGATCTAGTGGAGTGAAGTCAAAAGTAAGGTTTAATCTTACAGTTAAGGATGAATCTTACATTCACAGGTTGGAAGTTGACTCCACTCAACGTCGTTTCCTTTAAGCTGGCACCAGACGAAATTATTTCCAATTAATTTGTACCTAAGTGAAGATACACACAGAAAAAAACGGTGTAACTATCCAGAAACTGAGAATACTGCCCCCCTTCCCCATATGTGCATGATCAGGAATGTAGAAAAGGCAGTTTTAAAGCAAGCAGAGGTGCAGACCCACGCTGGTTAACAGGAGAGCTCCTCGCCTTGCTCTGCCAGAATGTGTGTTCATCTATTTTTAGGTGGTTTTCTGACTCACTGAGTGCATCTTCCACGGCAGGGCTGGGAAAAGTCGGGGCTGGCGGCTGGCAGAGCACGCAGGGAATGCCAGACAGCACCGAGGTTAAATGTGGGTTCCCACACGGGTGCATCGGGCTCGGGTTTGCTGAATCAGGGACTCTTTCTCCCTGCCTGCTTCCCGCTGGAGAACAGCGCTGGGATCCAGGCTGCCGGCAGCCAGAGCCCTTCCCACGCTGCTGTGTCCCAGCGGGATGGGGTGAGGAGGGGGGAGCTCCCTGCTGAGCACACTCAGCAGCTCCAAAGGCTGGGGCTCAGCCCAACTGCAGCTCCCTGGGGTCACTTATCTGGCCCTGCTGAAGCCCTCGGTGCTGGAGGGGCAGGGCAGGGTGCCCAGTGTCCCCCAGGGCCATCTCCTGCCCGGCACCTTGTTTGGGGTGTCAGGTGTTGGAGCTGCTTTGCTGAAGTTTTGCAAACAATCAAACAGCAGTGGGTGGCTGGTGCACCTTCTCAGCTGATCTGTGCCCAGAGAGTTGTGGACTGCCCATTCCTGGAAGTGCTCAAGGCCAGGTTGGACAGGGCTTGGAGCAACCTGGGCTAGTGGAAGGTGTCCCTGCCCGTGGCAGGGGGTGGAATGAGATGATCTTTAAGGTCCCTTCCAACCCAAACCAGCCTGTGATTCTGTGAATCAAATGCATCCACTGTGCACAGCAGGGACCACTGAGGGGCAACAGGGATCAATCTACATTTAATTAAGGTGGCTTTTGCATTGGCTTGCTGGAAGCTCATACATCTTGTGCTGACAGCTGACACCTTCCCCCATCTCTGAATTACATCCTCCTGTTCAGAAAACCTCATCATGTGGACATGCTGGGTGGTATCTGATCTTGCTTAGATGAACAGCATTATCCCTCCACCCTGGTGTGGATTTCCACAGATGAGCTGAACCCCAGAAGGGTGGGACATGCTGTCATTTTCTCCAAGTCCCGAGGGAGAGGAAAAAACCCCTCTGCTATATTTGAAGATGGGCATGACAAGCCAGATGATGCCAGCTAGTTCCTGTTGGGAGGGAGGAATACTGGCTGGAGTGGCAAGAGCTGGATTTTTCAGGTCAGTCCAGTGCTCATGGGCCCTGATTGAAAGCAGGCAGCAACCATGAGTCAGCTCCCTGAGTGATGGAATTTGTGCTTCACTGCAGCCTCCCAGCTGAGCATAACTGGATTTTAAAAGTTCCACCACAACCCCCCTTTTTTTTTTCAATACATCACAAATAACTTAAGCTGAAATGTTTTAAGTAGCTTGTTTTGGAGTCTGTATTTATAAACTGACATTACAAATGGCTCTGTTAGGTTGGACACCCTGCCCTGGGGCAGTTAAACTTCCTCTGGCTGGGCACTTGAAGGAAAAGGCAGCCACAAATCAGACCCTGGTCCCTTCCCTCCAGCTGTGTCTCATTCCAGAGCTGTATCCCAGCATCAGCACCGGTGTGGGCAGAGCCCCATCACTCACCCATCCTCACAGAACACGTCCACTCTGGCACCAAACTGCAGGTCTGTGAGGGGCACCATCCTCCCTCCAGGCAGCGCTGCCAGGGCACCACAGGACCTTCCTGGGGGGACAGACCAGGGCACAGGGTGATGGGCAAAGAAAAAAGGCTGGATCAGGGACAGGAAAAATATTGCTGTCACCTCGTCAGTCCTAATATTCCCTGGATTTCACCAAGAAACACACCTTGTTTTCATTTTGAAGTTCACTAGAACAGTGAGTTAGGCTTTGTCCTGTGCACGTGCCCAACTCAAACATCTTTGGGATCATAAATTCATTAAGGTTGGAAAAGACCTCTAAGATCATCAAGTCCAACCAAACATTTCCTAACGTGAAAATCAAACCATATCTGTTTATGCCAGCAGGAAAAAAAAAAAAAAAAGGAACATTACTGATACTTCTGCTGCTTCTGCTGTTCAGTTTTAAATAGGAATGTCAAGGAATATCCACCTCATTTTGTATTAATGGAGCTGTTGGGATGGGGATGACCTGGCTGCATTTTGGGATGCAGGTTGGGAGCGGACACTCAACCTGCTCTGAACTCCAAGGCTGCTTTTTGGGGAGCAGAGCAGAGCAGAGATACTCAAATACTCACTCCTGCACAGCTCAGCAGCTTCTGACCACGTCAGGTTCTCCAGGCAGGTGCTGGTGGGGGAGCTTTCCGAGGTGTTCTCGTAGCCAGGACGGCAGACGTAGGTCACGTTGGTGCCCACAGGGAAGAAGTTCATCACCTCATCCTCCTTGGACAGGGCAGCAAACCTCAACCTGGTTGGGGCAGTGCAGCTCCCTGGCAGCCAAGGAGAGCCAGCCTGAAAGAGCTGCCCACCAGGAGGGTGCCAAATAAACCTTGGGATCACAGGGGTGCCCTCGCTGGCCAAATAAACCTTGGGATCACAGGGGTGCCCTCGCTGCAGCGCTGCTGGAAAGCTCCTTGTGCTCACTGCAGGTTAATCCTGTTTCCTTGCCAGGCCTGCTAAGCTGTTAAATGCACCAAAGCGTGGGTGCAGAGGCATTAAGTGCTCAGGGGACAGTGTTAGTGGGACATCAGGAGCCTCAGGAATGTGCTGTGGGGCAGCACAAGAGCACCCAGCCCCCCTCCAACTGGCCCCTCTTCCAGAGCACCAGCCACCAGCACCCCAAGGAGCAGCAGAGAAGGGAAGAAGGTTTGTCCCTTGCCAGGGACAGCACAAGAGCAGCCCCTGGAAGGGGCAGGAATTTCAAGCCAAGCGAGAGAGACAGGAGCTGTGTTACAGAGGAAGGAGATATTTACGGCCACAGGGCTCGGGCAGCTTGGACCAGAGGTTGCCAGGCAGGCACTCCACCGTGTCTGGCAGCCCAGGGATTTTGAGGGCACCCTCGATGCACGTGTAGGTCACTCTGGATCCCACGGGGAAGCTGCTGGGGTGCTCGTTGCTGGATGGTCTGGAGTAGGTCATGGCAGGTGGGGGCCCACAGTCACCTGTGGCAGGATGAGACCTCCTGGGGTGAGAATTCCATTCCCTGGCCCCTTCCCCAGCCCCAGGGAGCATCCCAGGGGGATGGGATGGCCCAGGGTGCCCCTGTGGGCAAAGGCACCAGGCAGGGCTGTGAGAGCATCAAACACTGGGTCCTCAGCTTGGGGGTGGTGGCATCACCCACCCCAGCCCCTGAGCAGCAAGATGGGATCCAGGCAGGTTTCTCTGGTCCTCCCCATGCATCCCATGGCCCCATACTCACCACGAGCCACAGGCAAGCTGAGGAGCCCCAGCAAGGCCAGGAGCAGCCCCTGTGCCCTGGTGGGTGTCCCACAGCTCAGGGTGCCTGGGTGCCTGCCCAGCCCTGCTCCTCCAGACTTCATTGCAGCAATTCCTGAGCTCCTCCGTCGAGCACCGTTGGCTCCAGGGGCTGTTTCCAAAGCTGGGAGGAGGAGATGCACTGCAGCAGACTCCACCAAGCCTCAGGAGCAGTGGAAACCTTTCCAGAACACCCACAGAGGGAAACTCTCTGTCAGGGACACGGGGAGCAGCCAGGGTAGGGGACAGCTGTCATCCAGCAGGCTTGAGCCTCCTGGTTTTCCTGCTCCACCATGAGGGATGGGGGAATAACTCAACCCCTTTATTTGTCCTGAGACTGGCAGTGAGCACTGACTAGCACAGTTTTACCAAACCACATGCTCTGAGAGCAGAAGAGACACCTCCCAGCCCAAAGTTGTGTCCAGGGTAGGAAAATACCTACTTATTCACTTGCTGGCAGGTAATGCAATACAAATCTCCCATGAGCAGAGTTAGTGAAGCAAATAAAAACATTTTCCTTTTTGTTTGCTATTTTTTGCTCCGTTGCCTGACTCATTTGCAATGAGGAACGGGTGTGAGCAACTGCATCTGTGTCCTGATTAACCCTCTGACAGATCCCATGTGACATCAGCCAGGAGGGCCCAAACAGACACACGCAGGATGTACCACCCAGTTTTTATTCACATTTATGGGTGTCAGGCCCTGCACAGGAAGACACCACAGTCCCACGTGAGCTCAGTGGGGAGGTGTCACACAGGGAGGGTGCAGCCCTGCTCGTCTCCTGGTCAGGGAGAGCTGGAGCAGGTCTGGGAGCTCCTCTCACTGCAGATCTCCTCACCTGGGCGTGGTGATGCATCCCCAAAGCATCTCTGTGTGCAAAGACGGGAGACACCATCTCTCCCCTTGGGTGTTTTGCTTTCATTTTAGTAACTTCTAGAGGTGTACATCTGGCAGTGATGCACTGCTGCAAATCACCTGTGCAGGAGGTAAATGCTCCTCCTTCTCCCACCGAGCCTGGGCTGATCCAGCTGCCAGGACTCAGGGCTGTGCTGAGCCCACTGTAGCTCCCCAAGCACCCCAGGACTGACCCAGGACCATTGGACCACGCTGGAAATCTGCCCAATTTACAGCCAACACGACAGATTACAAGACTCCTCTCCCCTCCATGGATACACCCCCACCTTTGTTGCAATCCCACAGGGAATGTGTAACCACTGAAACACAGGCAGACATGAACTGATCAGCATTTATTGAGGAACAGGAACAATCTTGGCTGCCTAATTCTCTGCACTTGAACTTATCACATCTATTCTTAGCATTCACGTGCCAGAAATAGGGATGTGGAAGATGACACCAACACAAGGCCAGAAACCTGTTGCCTGTTTTAAGTCCAGGGATAAGATAACATGTCCTTCTTACAAACTGCCCTCAACTGGCTGAATAGAAATCAGCTGGATTAACAGGAAATCACACAGTTGAACACTTACTTCACCACTATTTCTAGCACCCCTAATGCAGAGGGTGCAGCGTGTACACCAACCACAGCCAGAAGATTCCAGCAGAAGCACCTTCAGGGACAACCTCTGGACACTCATCTCAGCTTGTGCAGACTTCACTCCCCCTCATCTCAGCTTATCACAGTTAACACAGCGACTTAAAGAAGCTCAATTTAATTTCTTGCTATGCTGCCTAATATAAAACACGAAACAACTTATTAATTAAAGAGCAAATCAAGCTTGTCAGATTTAAAGGAAAGAGTAAAAACCACTCCCTGCTCTGGCATCTAGCACGATAAAAGCAACCTCCCGTGCATTGGTGATAATTTTTCTGGCTCTGGGTGTGCAAAAATAAACCATAAAACCACCCAGAGCCTTTTTATAGATACTGTGACTGCACAAAGTCTGCGTTCACCGAAGGAAACGTGGTTGTTACAGCGCATTACAGGACTCCAGTTTTGCTCTACTTTTCTAGTTCCCCCTCTAGTTTTTTAATCTCCAGAAACAGTTTTTGGATTTCCAGCAGAGCTTTCACTTCTGCTACAGGCAGCCCGCACTCAAAGGCCGATTTAATGTAGTGAACCTCTTCACATACATCAGCATCACCTTCTTTCTTCTGTTAAAAAGTAAAACAAAACCCAGAAAATAAGCTTATAAGGCTGCTCTGCAGCAGATGGAGAGCCACCCACCCCTCAGCTCTGAGGCTGACCTGTCCCAGCACAGCCCCAACACTTCATGCCTCATCCATAGCAGGAAGAAAAACCTTTTGAAAAGTTTAAGCAGTTATTTTTCTTATTAGGTGTCAGGGAGCATCCACCCAGGCACTCAGCCAGACCATGGGGCTCTGAGCAACCTGGGCTAGTGGAAGGTGTCCCTGCCCATGGCAGGGCATTGGAATAGGATGATCTTTAAGGTCCCTTCCAACCCAAACCATTCTGTGGTTCTATGGTACTTACACACTTGGGCAACGGTGTCCAGTTGCCATCAGGCAGGCATGTGGCTGTCCAGGAGCCTTCTGGAGACATGTTCCAATCATCTGAAAACTGGTACCCAGGGGCACATCCCAAAGTAACGGTCTCATTGATCTGGTACCATGTTTTATCATCCAAAGGGCTTTTCAGCCTTCCATAGGCCACCCGTGGTTGTGGACACAGAACTGGAAGGAAAACCCACAGCAGAAGGCAGCTCAGTGTTATGGGGGCAGAAAAAAAAACCTATGAAGCTTGTGAAGGCTGAGCCAGTGCAGAGGAACTTAAATTTGTGGAGCTGTGAAACCAAACGTTGAAGCAAAAATACTTCCCCAGGCCCTTTAAGAGGGGAGGGTGAAGGTCAGAGCAGCCCCTGAGAGATGTCAGGAATTTGTCACTAATTTGCTTTTTTGTGGCAATGTCTCTGTTCAGGCATCCCCGGGCAGAGTCTGCAGATGGATATTTGGCAGTAGGAACGTGCACTCTGAAGAGGAAGTCAGTGGAGTCCTGGCCTGTCTTAGAGCCTCCTTTCTGCATGACTGTCAAGAAAAACTCAACCACTGCCTGGTAGACACCAGCTTTGGGAAGTTTGTTTCTTCTGCAAGGAGGGGAAGGTTCTCAGAGAGCCCCGAGGATGGACACAGCTGTGAAGTGCTGCCCCCCGAGCTCCCTGCTCTGCGACGGGAGCCGCGGGCTCAGCTCCCGGCTGGAACTCACCTGGCTGGCAGGTGGGCACAGGAGGGTCCCAGCTGCCATCAGCCTGGCACTGAGTCTCTGGAGCACCACTCAGTCCAAAGCCTTCATCACAGGAGAACCGCAGCACCACCCCGTAGGGAAAGGTGAACCTCTGGGGGGTCATCCTTCCCCTCTCGACCACGGGCTTGGGGCACCGAACCGCTGTGGGGAGAGAGCGGAGCTGGGAGTGGGGTCTGGCTGCTGCCCTTGCCCAGGGACAGCAGGGGACAGGTCAGGCAGGGCAGAGCTGCTCCTCCTGCCTGCCCCGTGTCAGAGAACCAGAGCGTCTCATTTCCAGATGGATCATCCCCACCCTGGAGCTGTCGAGCCTGTGAAGGAAGCAGGATCTCCAGGCTCATTTTTGACCCCGTTGTGCTGAGTGTAGCACCCAGGTCCTGCCTTCAGCCTGGTCCCATACAGGAGAAACCACTCACTCACCCCTGCACTCCGGGGCAGCTCCACTCCATGTCAGGTTCTCCCCATCATCAGAGGTGCAGTAGATGGATTCATCCCCAATGAGGGACAGACCCTCCATACAGGTGTACTTGACTTCAAAGCCATATGGGAACTGCTTAGTCCCCGAGGCAGAGTGCTGCCCATTGGAGATTTTGGGAGGGGGATCACAGACTGTGAGAGAATAAAGGAAGAAATTAAGAAATTAAGAATTCCATCAGGGAGACAGAAGGTAGGGAAATAACAGGAGAAGTGAGTTCTTCATGTTCATTCTAAATGTTGCCCCTCCTTAAAGTCCTCCTTGCTTCATGCCAGCTTTGCCTCTGGCTCTACCAGTGCTCCCAGACTGCCCCAGGTAACCCAACAGCATGGCCCCAGTACACAGCACGTACCCCCATCCCCTCCCCTTCAGCCAACCTTCCCTTATCCTCTCCTCTTTTCCACGAGAAGTGATCCTGCTCATGAAGGGGGCCAGGGAATGGTGAGTGTCATGAACACCTTGAACAGCGCTCTGAGAGATGGCTGCAAGTCACATCAATCAGTGCATTTCATTAATTAGAGCGTTGATAGAGCATAAAAATTTTAAAGTCCTTTAACACTGTGCCCTACTCCTAACACCTTCTCTGAGAAGCCGTGCTCAGGTCACGAGGTTTTCTCCCTGCTGCTCCTACCCACGGGATGCCATTCCCAGCCCCGCCATTCCCACTTACCCCTGTCACAGTATGGGATGGGGGGTCTCCACGTCCCATCAGACGAGCACTGGGTCCTCTGGCTGCCCTTCAGCACGTAGCCACGGTCACAGTGGAATTCTGCCTGGTGCCCAAAGGTGTACTCGGTTTTCCTGGCCCTTATCTCTCTCCCGTGGGGGATAATTGGGATGGGACACTGCACCTCTGAGGAACACCAGCATCAGAAAGTAGACATTTAAATGGGGGGGGGTGGTCCCTCAGTGGTGGTTTGCTGACCCAGATGCCTCTAATCAGACCTGGCATGCTCAGGGATGGTAATTATGCAATAACAACCCCTTCTCTTGGAAGGCAGAGCGACCTGAGCCCCGTGATTAGCTTTAAATTGTGGCTGAGGGGATGGCATGTCACTAACTGCACCATTGTTTGAACAGCCAAATAACCAGCAGGAGCTGCAGCTATTCCTTTCCAGCCACGCCACCCTTTGAACAGCAAAATTATAACAAGTGAGAGCCAAAGCTGCTCAGTGAAGTCCCACTGGCACAGCAGCACCAGTGGGTGTTTTGAAAACGATGTTATTAAACTGATGCTTTGTTGGCAAAGCAAAGGAAACGTTGTACTTACTCTGGCAAAGCTTTGGGACTGCAGACCACGTGAAATTGTTAAGACAAGTAGTTGTCGGAGACACTCCAGGGATCAAAGTGAACCCGTGTCTGCAGGAGTAGATCAGGGTGGTCCCGACTAGAAACTCGTGCAGATGGTTTAGGTCGGCGTGGTCGACAGCAGGAGGGCTGGAACACCGACCTGGTGACAGAGCAGGGGACAACAGGGACCCTCAGAGCTGGGAGGTCTCCCCCAGGGACCCAGTGGAATGAAGCTGAGCCCTGCCTTGGTGGAAACCCCAGGAAGAAGCGAGGGACAGCAGCAGCCCTGCTGCAGGGGGGCATGGGGGGGAAAATAACGGGGACAGTTCACCAAAGGACGTGAACTTGATGAGGATCTGTATTCTCACAGACTTTTGTGTGCAAGACACTGAACCCTTGGTGTGCCCTGCAGTAAGGGACAGCCCTGCAGAGCAGAGGGGGTCCTGCCACCCAGCACCACCCAGTGTGGCTCATGGCACTGCCCACCCTCCAACCCCCTCCTGCCAGCACTGCACGTGCTTTTAGCGAAACACAAGCAGGTAATTACGCCTGGTAAAGGCAAGGAGAGAGGGGTGTGTGTACCTGGGGTGCAGGCTGGCACCCGTGGGTACCACCTGCCGCTGGGCAGGCACTGCACCGTGGTGGCACCCAGGGCCGTGTAGCCGGGGTCGCAGTCGAGTGTGGCGCTGCTGCCGGAGGTGAAGTTCTCTGCAGATTTCAGCTGACCATTTGAAATATGAGGGATGGGACACTGGACCTCTGTGGATCACCAAAAAAAGAAAAAAACCCGGGCTTTTCAGCGCAGCACTAACAGGGATCAGTTGTCGCTGCAGCTCCCTGTGGCGAGACAAGGCAAAGCAGTTTAATGAACGCAGCAGTTGAGGCAGAGGGTTTAGGGGTTAATCAACTTCTTGAGCAGCCACCTATAGGACTCAAAATGCGTAGGGTTTCCTTTCCACACAATCAAACACCATTTCTGCCGTTTCCTTGGAGCAGGGAGGTGCTGGGCTGGGTTGTGCACACTCGAGGAGTTTCTCAAAGGACCTCTTTAAAAGAACCATCAACTTCCAGGCAGAAGCTGCAAATTATTCCCCTTCCTAGAGACGTTTATTACTCTGCAGACCTGCATTTCTCCTGTTTTGAGGTCAGCCTGTGGGATGTCTGACAAAGCACCAGCTGCCTTTAGCACAGCTATGGGCTGCCTAAGGGTGAGGCATCAGCCTTGGTATCATAGAATCAATCACAGGATTACAGACTGGTTTGGCTTGGAAGGGACCTTAAAGCCCATCTCATCCCACCCCCCTGCCATGGGCAGGGACACCTTCCACCAGCCCAGGTTGCTCCAAGCCCTGTCCAACCTGGCCTTGGACACTTCCAGGGATGGGGCAGCCACAGCTTCTCTGGGCAACCTGCAACCTGTGCCAGGGCCTCCCCACCCTCACAGGGAACAATTCCTTCCACATATCCCATCTACACCTTCCCTCCTTCACCTTAAGGCCATTCCCCCCCATCCTATCACTCTGTGCCTTGTGAAAAGTCCCTCTCCAGCTTTCCTGGAGCCCTTTAGGTGCTGAAAGGTCTTCCCAAAGCCCTCTAAGCAAAGCTGAGCCACAGAAGCAAAGAGAAGAAGGATGGAAAACACTCACCGAGGCTCCCAGTCGGCTGCAGCAGAAGCACCACCAGTGCCAGGAGCTGCCCAGGGGGGCAGAGGAGCCCTGGCATGGTGTGAGGAGCTGCCAGACCAGCGCCGTGGGAAGGAGAAATCCTGTCCCTGCTGACAGCCCCACGGGGAAGGGGAAGCAACTGTGGGAAGCTGGGGTCAGGCCAGGCAAGCCACGCTGACACCACCCCCTCCCCAGCCCTTCTGACCTGCCCACGGCCAGGGCTGCCCTCCCTGAGCTCTCCAGAAAGGTTGTGCCATGGGAGGGAAGGCTGCTCTGCCCTCTTCCCTGGGGGGAAAAGAGGGAATAAAGGTATTTTACAGCTGGAACCACCCTGCAGCATCCTGGCCTCACCCCTGAAGCACATTTACCCAGGGGCAGGCTGCTGTGCAAACACCCCCCACACCCAGAGAACAGCACCCTCCATGCCTATCAAGCCATATTTATTATATGCACTTTATATATTATATATGGCTATTATATATATTTAATATATATTAAATACGTTGCTTTACTACAGATAGGACAGAATTATTAAAAGCCAGACAGAGCTGTCATTGCAATTGCAGTTTTATTATAACCTTGTGGTGAAGGAGTCCTGGGTCCCATCACAAGACACACGATCTACACAGCACTTCCCCTCTACTGGATGTTGCAGAAAAAAAAACCAGCCTTTTTTTTTTTTAACTTTACACTTTCTTCTGCTCTTGGTGCACACCCAGAGATGTGGCACTGCCGTGCCCTCGGATCCATCCGTCCTGCTCGGGAAGAAAACCTGGCATTTTAGTTTTGCTATAAGACAGGCTTTGAAGTCCTCTTGGTCACAAGCAATGCAGTGAAGTGGTGAGTGAATACATAGTGGATAAACTGGGCAGCACTGGGCTATACTGGGCTGAAGAGGTGCAGCAGCTGTGAGGTGAGTGAGGGTTGGTGACTCCCATGCCTGTTTGTACCACACAACAACTTACTTTCCACTCAGTTGCTTTCTAACTGTGCATTGCCAAGTGTAGCAAACAGATATAAAGCTTTTAAAGGTATGATGTACAAACTTAACCCACTGAGCTCTTACAGAATGAGTCAGAAGTCACTTTGACTCCTCACGTGACCAAATCTGTTCTGTGGCCGATTGCTAAATTCTGTTTTGGCTACTTAAGTAATAGCAGGAATTACAAAGCCATAAAAAAATCCTCAGTCAGCATCACTATTGAACACGCAGAGGACAGCTGCTACAATACCAGTGACACCAGTCAGCTGTATGCTCTGATTTCTAGCTCCCTTTCAAGTTTCTGGATCTCCAGGTAGAGTTTCTGGACTTCCAGCAGGGTTTTCAGTTCTGTCAGAGGAATTCCACACTCGAAAGCTGCTTTATTTTGAAGAATCTTCTCACAGGTCTCACGCTTTTTCTTTAAAAGAACCAAAACAAAGACAGCGTGAGATTCCACCGCGGGGTGACAAAGCAACCACCTTCATGAAGTTGGACCAAGGCTATTCCAGACCATAAATGGGACAAAATACAGGAAAACCTGGGCAGGTTGGTGGTACTTACACACGTGAGAGGTGGTACCCAGGTGCCATTAGCTGAGCAGGTAGTTTTTGAAGCCAGCCCTGACCGTCCGTTACGTTTGCAGGAGAAGGACAGAGTTTCATTCACCTCATACCACAATTTGTTCCAAGGCAACTCTAAGTCCTGGTCCCACGAGGGTCTGTAACACCGAACTGAAAGGGAAATGCAAGTCAAAGAACGATGTCATGGGAGGAGAGGGAGGAGAAAACGCTCTGCAGATCCCACCCATCGCTGGTGATACAACAGAGCAGCACCCCCGGGCTGGAACTCACCTGGCTGGCAGGTGGGCACAGGAGGGTGCCAGCTGCCATCAGCCTGGCACTGAGTCTCTGCAGCACCACTCAGGGCGAAGCCTTCATCACAGGAGAACTGCAGCACCACCCCATAGGGAAAGGTGAACCTCTGGGGGGTCATCCTTCCCCTCTCGACCACGGGCTTGGGGCACCGAACCGCTGCGGGGAGAGAGCGGAGCTGGGAGTGGGGTCTGGCTGCTGCCCTTGCCCAGGGACAGGCAGGGCAGAGCTGCTCCTCCTGATGCTCTCTGCAGCAGCTCTGTACTCAAATGCCACAACTGACCCTCAGCTGCCTGCTGAAGGAGACCCTGAGGTGTCAGTGAACAGCTGCTGGTGTCGAGATGTTGGCACAGGAGCTGCACTGGTTAATGCACTCGGGGTTTGGAGCTCCTGGAGCTGGGCAAGTTATGGAGCTGGGGCTTAGCCAGGTCCTGGCTTCAGGAGATCCACAGAGGAGAAACCACTCACTCACCCCTGCACTCTGGGGCAGGTCCACTCCACGTCAGGTTCTCCCCATCATCAGAGGTGCAGTAGATGGTTTCGTCCCCGATGAGGGACAGACCCTTTGGGCAGGTGTAGGTCACGCTGGCGCCGTAGTAGAACTTCTTACCCATGCCATCGTGCTGCCCATTGGAGATTTTTGGAGGGGGGCCACAGGCTGTGGAATAAAGGGAATTGATAAGAAAAGAAATGTGCAATTATCATATTCAGGTGAGACTCAAAAGTCACTTCTGAGAAATCACTACAGAGTTCGCTTCATGTTTGCTGTCAGGCAAATTCACAAGAAGTTGCTGCCTGGCTTCTTACACCAGCTCAAGGCTCCCACTTCTCCCTCAGCTCCTACCTGGGTCACATCTATATCAGGAAATATTGGGATTTTTCCAGTGGTGGACTCACCACCCCTGGAAGTGTTCAAAAACCATGTGGATGTGGCACTGGGGTCATGGTTTAGTGGGCATAGTGGGATTCAGTTGAAGGCTGGACTTGATGTTCTTGAAGGTCTTTTTCAACCTTAATTATTCAGTGATTCCATCTCCCGGGAGGGAACACCTGGCTCAGCCCATGAGCTGGTGATCAGCACCCTGTTCCCCAGGAGCTGAGGGGAGATCACCTACTGATGGCTGTTTCTAACACCAGAGCACGGGAATTCTTCTCATCTGTGTGTCACACGTACCTTTGTCACAAAAGGGCAAGGTAGGAGCCCAGGTTGCATCAGCCTGACACTCGGTCGAGTCCGGGCCCCAGAGGGAAAAGCCCTCATCACAAGTCAGCTGCACTTGGGTCCCCACTGTGTAGTCACTTTTGCTTTTATGAACCTCTACTCCGTGAGGAATGTCTGGCTTCGGGCACTGAGGTTCTAGAAACAGCGGGAAATAAAGGACATCATGTATTTCCAGGAAGGACTTCTATGGAGAAGAGTTACCAAGAAATATAAACCCTGGACAAAAGATGACTCTCATCCAAATACAGGTCTCGGTGCTTCCTCTGTAACCCCGAAGGCCAGGACAAGGAATCATCCATGCTCTAGTGCGTGGGAGGTAGAGCAGGCTCTTTCCTCCTGGCAAGGTTTCCCTGAGCTTTTGGGCTCATGGGTGATGCTGTGGTGCCCCATTGCTGGGTTAGGAGTTGGAGCAGGGTGAGGTATTTACGCTGTTGCGTTTTCTTCTGAGAGGGGAAACGCGTTGAGAACATCTGCTGCTCCCAAGCCTCGTGTCAGCAAACCATCCCAAAACACAAACCACATCCCCTTCCAGCTGGGTGAATGTCTCCCAGGCTTCCTAGAGACCTCCCAACCCTCTAGAAGCTTCCAACACGCAGCCCTTCACCCCCCAACTCCCCAGACACAAGCTCAGCTCTGCCAAAACCCTGTACTTTTTCCAAGGCAATTCCCAGGCAATATAATGATCCACCTGGACCTTTTGCTGCCTGTGTATTCCAAGTTAACACAGGACAGCCAGATCTGGGGACACGTAGCAGTGGAGCAAAATTCTCTTTGGCTTCTACCATCACCATCTGAGGCCACAGGTAGATTTTTCTGGGAATGTCAGTAGACAACTACACCCGTACAGAGTAACCCAAATCTTGCAGTCAAAAAATAAGCAGTCCCCAAATCAACGTTTCACAAACTCTGTCCCACCTGGAACGCACTCTGGCGGCTCTGGATCCCATCTGCCATCACTCCTACACCGAAGTGTGATGCTGCTGCCACGACCTTTGAAGGCAAACCCATCTTTGCACGTAACTTCCAGTGTGTTTCCATACAAGTAATTGTCTCTCTCGTACCATGTGTACTTTCTGTTCGGGATGTGTGGATCTGGGCAACGAATTCCTGAGAAATGCCACAGGTTAGCAAGTGTGAAACCACGGCAAAGCCAACTGGGCGACAGCAGGTTCGTTGTGAGCAGAAGGAAGAATGCTTTGTAGGACAGAGACACATCACGACATTAAATCTGCCCCCAAACCACCCCTGGGCCATCCTGGGGGATGGAATGTTTGCCATGCAGCCTCCCTGCTGGATGGAACAAGGGACCCTCGACACCACAACAGCTTTTTCCAGAGGTTCAAGGGACTAGAAAGCAGAGCTGGTGAATAAAGCAAAGAAAACTCTGCAGCCGGGGAATAAATCAGAAGAAATCAAGAGTCACAGCAAAGATGAGCGCGGCGCCAAGCTGGGCCTCTGGAGCATCCCCCTTTCCCCCACCTCACTCTCCACATGCAGTTCCTTCACTCAGCAATAATTCTGGCAGCTCCCAGGCGAGCCAAAGGGACAAACACTTACTTTCACATGGTGGGGGGATTTCATCCCACGTGAAGTTCGGCCGACAGCGGATGTCCCGCGTGGTTTCTCCCGCTCTGAACTGGTGGCCCTCCAGGCACTCGTAGGTGACCTCAGTGTCCACAGGGAACAGATTGCCAGCAAGTCTGGCTTTAACGGTGTTATACACATCTGGAGGGTCAGGACAGCTACCTGGGGGGGAGACACCAACTTAGGGATGTTGCCAGTGGCACAGCAATGAGGCCCGTGGCGGTACGAGAGAATTTGGGTAAAAATCACAGGCTCATGTTGCTCATTCTGAGATGCACTTAATCATCCAAGTTCAGCAATGGTGGAGGAGGCAAATGAGGACACGCAAATATGAGTTTTTTCCCTGGAGAGACTTTTCACAAGGGCATGGAGTGACAGAACAAGAGGTAACGGCCTTAAACTGAATTTAGATCAGATACATGGAAGAAATTCTTCCCTGTGAGGGTGGGGAGGCCCTGGCACTGGTTGCCCAGAGAAGCTGTGGCTGCCCCACACCTGGAAGTGTTCCAGGCCAGGCTGGATGGGGCTCTGAGCAACCTGGTCTAGTGAAATAACAGGGAAGTGGAATGAGATGAGGTTTAAGGTCCCTTCCCACCCAAGCCATTCTATGATTTTGGACTGCATGGTAATTTTCACTGTTACAATGAGATGCAATTTCTAATCAAGTTTATATTATTTGAGGCTCTGACAACAAACTCTGAAACATTAAATATAGAAAGGTTAATTTAGTCCCTTTCAATTCTAGTGAGAAAAGCTCTCCAGCTTGAACAGGA